ATTTGGGAGAGACAGATGAGTATGCACTTTTCAAAAACGTGGTGATGTACAATGACACCTGCAATGTATCCCACACCACAGCTGACATTGGTTGGTGGAATTCTTTAAAAGTTTTGGCAATCCGATGGGTATTTAATTTAAATGATCGTTTCTCTGATCATCTTTTTCTATAAGTCATGTGAATTTTCTCTCCAAGAAACATTTCTTTTGCCTATTTTTGACCTTTCAAGAACTCTTTGAAGGTAACTGTGTATTAACGTCTATCAATTAACTTTCTATATGGGATCTTTTATTATGCATATTGACTACTGTAACCAAGAATATTTATAAGATAGTTGTGGAGTATAAAGAAAAACCAATTAAAAAACACCCATTTCATTTATTCCCCCCCGCCACCTAGTTTATACTTATGAATTATGTCCTTCAGTTCCTGGACACTCCCCACCAAGTAACTGACTTTGTCATTCCCACTTATAACCTCCACATTTTGTTAATATCTCTAAGTAATCCACTAATTTTTTTTTAGCATTATAGAAATAAAATCATAGGTATTCTGTAATACCTATGGTATTAGGTCCCTTGCAATATAAGACCTTGCAATATAATACCTATGGTATTTGGTTTATCCTCTCAATGTCTTGTTCCAGAGATTCAGCCCTGGTACTATGTTTTGGTGTGGTTTATTCAAATTTTCCTTGCTGCACAGATTCATCATATGAATATACTATAGTTCATTTAACTTTTCTTACTAGTGATTATTCCAGTACTTACCAGTTTTCAGGTTTTCTCAGGTTTTGTTATCACACAGTAGGGCTGCTCTGAATACTCTTGTACATGATTCTTAGTAGGCAAGTGTAGGCTATATAAACCCTGGCTGGGTCATAGGGCATGCACATTTTCAACTTCACTAGGTAAATGCCAAATGGTTTCCAAAGAGTTTGCCTCAGTTTACATTCCACCAGCACTATTTAGTCTCTGGTTGTTTCACACATTTTCCAGTATTTGGTAACATCAGACTTTTAATATTTATGGCAATCTGGTAGGTATAAAATGGTATCTCATCTGGTTTATTTCATACTTTCCTGATTACTAATACCATTGAACAACTTTCATACATATCTTGGCCTTTTGGTTTTCATTTTCTAAGAAATGCCTGTTCAGGACATTATATATTTTCTCTTGTGTTATTTCTTTCTTAGTGATTTATACAAGTTATTTATATAATCTAGATACTACTTCTACATTAGTTACACAGGCAGCAAATATCTTCTCCAATTTTGTGGGATTCTTTGTTATATCTTTGAGAAATAGAAGTTCCTAATTTTACTATCATCTGATGTTATTAATCTTTTATATATGTTTCCCCTCCCCTTTGTATATTGTTTAAGAAATATTTCCCTACCCTTAAGTCACAAAAATATTCCATACAGACTTTTTAAAAGCTTTATGGTTTGGGGGCACCTGCATGGCTCAGTTGCCATGTGTCCGACGTCTTGATCTTGGCTCAGGTCACGATCTCATGGTTCGTGGGTTCGAACTCCATGCTGGGTGCTGCACTGACAGTGCAGATCCTGTTGGGATTCTTTGTCTCCCTCTGTCTCTGCCTCTCCCTGCTTTCTCTCTCTCAAAAATAAATCAACATTTTAAAAATCTCTTTAATAGTTTTAAAGTTTGCCATTTTCCACTTATTTTCCAGTTAAGTCTTAAATCCACCTTGAATGAATTTTTTTGCAAGGTATGAGATGAGGGGGTCTAATATAATTTTTAAAAATATGGATAACCAATTGTCCCAGAAAAACTCATTAAAAACTCTATTCTTTCTCCACTGATCCACCCTTTTTTATGCAGTTTTCATAAAATAACTTCATATATATCTGAAATGTGTATCTGTGTGTAATCTGCTTCTATGTTCTTTATTCTATTCTTGAATCTGTTTGTAAACCTCTGTACAAATAATATGCATAATGAACCCTGTGGCTTTTTAATAATTCCAGGTATCAGGTAAGCCAGGATCTTCCACTTCATTCTTCTTCAAGAGTCTCAGGTATTCTGGCCTTTTTTCCTTTCTTATAAATTTAGGATCAGCTTATCACGTTCCACAAAATGTCTACTGTTCTAAATCTTTATATCAGTATAGACAAAAATGACCTATCTTTCTGCCACTCAATTTTTTTTCAAAAGATAAAAAGTTTTTAGAGTGGATAAATGTATATCCACCATATATCCTCCAATTTCCATTTACTACACATTGCTTTATCAGATAGCCTCTAGTCATCCATTAATCCATTAATTTTCAAATGCATTTCAAGGTAAGTTGAAGACACTTCAACCTTACACACATCAAGGTACTGATTTTGTATATTTATTTTATATCTGGCCACTTAATCTTCTAGATGCATATTCATATAATCTTTAAATAAAGATACTTTTGTTTTCTCTGTTGCAATTTTATACTGATTATTTGATGTTCTGTTCTTCCTGCAACTAGAAAATTCTCAAAAACAGACTTGAAAATCGTGATGATGGTTGGCACTCATGTCTTATTCCTAACTTTTGTGCAAATGATTTAAGATTCACTCTTTAGTGACTGATCACTGGTAAGTAACCAATCATATTCAGAAATGTTTTTCTAATTCCATTTTTACTGTAACAAGTTTTTACTGAAAATGTCTGACGAATTACATCAAATACTTCTCAACTTCTATTAATGTTATAACACTTTACCTTTCCTTTGTTGTATGATGATTTACAGTTAGATCTTCTAATGTTTAAATATTCTTACATTTTCAGAATCAATGCTACCTGATTGTGGAAATATAATTAATTTGCACTCCTATATTCAACTGATTAGCATCATATTTAAAAGGAATCAACATGCATAAGACTTCCTTTTTCCACACAGTCTTTACTGGTTTTTAGGACTCCAGCTATTTAAATAAATGAAAAACACCCTACCTGGAATAACATACCATAAAATAGAGCCTACGTATTTTTTTTTTTTTTATAGGTTAAGTAGAATTCAGTTATAAAACCACCTGGGTCTGGTGACTTTCTAAATGGAAACTTTTGTGAAAACATATTTCATATTTCTGTGACTATTAGTTTATCCAAGTTTTCTTCTTAGGCCAATTGGAGTAGACCAATTTTGTAGGAAACTCCATTTCCTCTAGGTTTTCTTTAAAAAAATTTTTTTTAATGTTTATTTTTGAGAGAGAGACAGACAGAGCATGAGCGGGGAAGGGGCAGAGAGAGAGGGAGACACAGAATCCAAAACAGCTCCAGGCTCTGAGCTGTCAGCACAGAGCCCTACGTAGGGCTAGAACCTGCAAACCTTGAGATCATGACCTCAGCTGAAGTCAGGCACTGAACCAACTGAGCCACCCAGGTGCCCCTCTCTAGATTTTTAAATGTACTGAGTTTGCACACTACCTTTAAAAAATAATTTTTAAAATCTTTGTATCTCCTTTCTTTTTTCCAATGCTATTTTGTTTGTTTGTCTATATTTTTCTTAATGTGTCATTCCAAAGGACTATTCACCTTTAGCTGGAATAATTTACACTTGTACTATATTTTTGTGGGGAGAGGGGGGGTTAAGAATAGGCTTTTCATTTCAATAAAAATTAAATTCTGCTTATATCTTTTACCGTCTCCTTTCTTTTTCTGTTTTTTGGTTGCTCTGTTCCTATTATTTTGAATATTTATTTTATTTATTTTCAGTGTTTATTTTTAATAATAAAGGAGTTTAAAGCTATACATTTTTCTCTGAATACAATATACTCTGACTACCAATTCAACTTTCGAAAATGTACTCTACAGAAATAAAAGTATCAGTATACAAGAATATACGGGTGCTTGTTATAACTTTTTTTACAGTGGTAAGCAAACAAGTAAATATACAAAAAGAAATCTTCCAGAATACAGCCTAAATGTCCATCAATATTAAAATGGTTGCCTAGGTTATATTATAGGCTCACTACAGAAAATTCTCTTGTCATTGAAATTTGTGTATGTTGCACTAGGCTGATGTTCTGAAAATACTATTATATGTAAAATAAAACTGCAGTCATGTGACTTGTATGATTCATTTTTGTGAACAAAAGCATACAAAACAAAATGCAAACATACCAAAAAGTGCTTTTGTTTTTATATCTACATACATACATACACACACACACACACACACACGCATATATATACATAATATATACTTATGTGTATTTCTGATGTGAAAGATAATATGACCAAATTTACTTGGTTACTGTAAAGGGGCACATCAGACACAGTAGGAAAAGAATGAACCTATTCTTTATACATCTCTGCATCATGTAACTTGTTTAACGAGAATTCGTTACTTCTACTTCTATAAATTAAAACAACAAACGTCTATTGGCATGACTGAAATTTTGGTGTTAATTCTAGGAGCCTATTTTAAAATTTAATTGATTAATCGCCCTCCATTATAGCTTTCCTGTCATAATTTTTGCAATATAAATCACTACTGTGGAGATTTCTTCTAAATAAAAACCAATTAATGGCTTAAAACCTATAACTGCTTTCAGCTTCATATATCTATGTACCTATGTATATGTGTATGTACATATATTTTTATATATGTTCTACACATATATATTTTTACATATATATTACATACACATATATTTTTTTCCAGTGTATGTTAATGTTTATTGAAACTCCAGGCTGCTATTCTACAAAATCTCTAGTAGGCTTCCTGAAGAATTTCCTTCAATAATAAACTTATGGAGAGCTGTAGAAGTAAAAACACTAACCAGGCAGGAAAAAAAAATTAAATAAATAAGTAAGTAAATAAATAAACAAATAGGAGAGCCATGGGCTCTTATCCCAGAACAGCAATATTAATTATTAGCTGTAAGAAGACAAAGGGCTTATGACTATGAGAAAAAAAGCCATCCTTATACTGCACAAATCAAGGTGTTAGTTAAGTCAGACAAAAGCAAAAACAACAAAAAAATCAACAGTACCTTTCTCTTGTGATATTTGCTTGACTGTGGCCTGATGGTGGCAAGGAGATTCTTCCGTATCATGATCAGATTTTGAAGGAGAGGAGAGTGAAGTGTCTCCCCACGTAGAGGAGGAAGGCTCCTGTTCTGGGTGCAGCGGTCCTCCTTGAAATTCAGTTATGTGGTCAGACGAGAAGGGCACACTGCCTGCCACTGGAGTGAGGGATGGAGCACCAGAATCTGATTCTGGAGAAGTTCTCAAACCCTTGGGCAGAAGTGATTTGGTAATGTGCGTGTGGTTATAGAAACTGTTTGAAGGCTGTTGGTATAAGAGATTATAAAGGAGGTTATGCCGCTGAACATCAGCTCTATGTAATACTTACTTTGAAATCAGACCAAACTTTTTTAGTAAATCCCTTGAAAACCAATGTTTGTTGGTTGGTTTACAGATGAGACTGCATAGTTTACAACAATTCATCACATTACCATTGTGGCTAACACAGATCCTAAGACATACAGAAACAGTTACTTGTACATTATTTCCCACTAGGTGAAACCAACAGCTGAATATAAAAGCACCATCACGAATATGACAAAATGGGTAATGCCCTTGGGGTAGTTCATTGAATGAGTACAGACAGAATTTGAATTACAACAATATAACGAGTTGAGTAAGAATTTAGGAGACAAAGCAGTGAACTATTCCAGCTGTTTCCATCTAGGGCATAGAAGCTGGTTGCAGAAAAATCATTACCTTCAATAAGCTGTAGGAACAAGGATACAGCTCAGCACTGCAAAGTCAGAAATTGGTCAAAGGTGCTCACCTTTCGTTCCAGACTGTCTTCCCCATCTGTTGAACTGACACTATCATAGAGTCGTGTCCTAGAGGGCCTCTGGCGTCTGTTCTTCACAGAGAGCTGGGCTCGGGTTTTCAGTGCTTTTGAATCCAGGCGCTCTGTTTCGGGGACTGCCTCATTCAAGTCTAAGAGAAGAATATTGCAAAATAACCAGTGAGGGGAACCTTTGGACAGGATTGACAAAGAGACCACAGATGCTGATAACAAAATCTCAAGGTAATCAGTAATACTAGGCAAAATATAGGTGACAACCATGCCGGCCTGATACCCTGCAGGTAAGAAATAAATCAGTGAGGTTTTGGAGAAATGTACAAAGCATAATGGAAGAAACAAACACCAAAGATGACCAAGGCAACCAAAAGATCTAACATCCAAAGAGCCAGCATGATCCTCTGTGGGCCAACTCACCACCTCTAATCTTGCTGCCTGCAGTCCAAGTCAGGACTCAAAGTTACCATCTTTTTAAATTTTTAAAAAAAATTTTAATGTTTATTTATTTTTGAAAGAGAGAGAGGACAGAGCATGAGCAGGGGAGGGGCAGTGAGGGAGCGAGATAGAATCCGAAACAGGCTGCTATCACAGAGCCCAACGCGGGGCCCGAACTCACAAACCGTGAGATCATGACTTTAGCCAAAGTAGGACGCTCAACCGACTGAGCCACCCAGGTGCCCCTCAAAGCCACCATTATAAAGGGGAGGAGGAAATGTCACCCATCCATCAATCTATGTAGGCACTGGCTGAGGAAAAACTCTTCTCTGGTTGAATTTATCTGGAATGTTATTGCTCCTTAGAAATAATGTAGTTTGCTCATCCATCCTTTTTTATCTTTTTAGAGTGGCAGTCATTAATGAAGTCATAAATGTTCACAGAATTAATAATTAAGTGCTTCTGGATTTAAACTATTAAAAATAAAGCAAATAACTGAGTTGTAGAAAATTAGTATGTACTGGAATTAATGGAATAACACAGTTTCTTACAGTAGCATTACCTGAGGCAATTCCTTTTCATAGTACTAGCATGAAGGTGTACTCTAAATATATTATAAGACCAAAACAAGGAAGCATCTCAGGATATACCTCTCTTACATGTGGAATTTAGCATCTGGCATATGGTTCTAACAAATAATATTAAACCTATTTTTCCTAGGAGATACATCCTTTGAATGACAATATTTACAGAAGGTTCTGACTTTTCATTTCCTGTATTTGAAAGAAAAGTGAATATTCAGAAAAGTCAGATCATTCAGGTATATATAAAGGACAGCTAAATATTTTCTAATTAGTAGTCTATTGTTTACATGTCAATGAAGAAAAAATAATCTCCTTGATCACTTTAATTTCTTCCTTTCAATAGAATCTAAACTTGCAGCTGCTGATTAAGAGTTCATTAGTTGTGATAATTGGAAGATAATCAACCTTACAAGCTCTTGTTTACATATAAAACATGGAAACACCACCCAGATGAAAGCAACAATATAATTAGATATATCGGCGTATAAGCATGTTTCACAGTTTATCTATCTCATATTTGGACTGTACCTTCTATGACAACAAAGCACAGTCACACACACCAGCTCATGTATTCTTCACAACAGCCCTACACAAAAGAGCAGCCGAGGATGTTTATTTTGTCCTCTCCTGTAGTTGAGAGACCTTGAGTAACTTGCCCTCTTCTGTGTGGCTAGTTGATGGATGAGCAGCCAAGATTTTTCTAGTTTTTTGACCCCCAGGCTACTACCCTGTGCCCTCCAAATTCAGCTAGGGTTGAACAAGCTATGAGAAAAAGATTTTATTTAATGTTCAGTGTTTTGGGGTTGTAAAATCACATAAAACATGACTAATCTAGGAAATTCATTTCTCCAATTGGCTACATATGAAATATTATTATTAATCTTCCACATATGTGTTAAGAAAGCATAAAAAGGAGGACATGTTGAAAGCTAAGGAAAAAAATTATTTCTCAGATGATTTATTTGGTTGGTTTAATAATAGCTTTAGTTACTTGGTGACAGGAAGACCCAAGGAGGAAGCTCATTCTGAATGTAAAATGGCTGTAGGGGCACCTGGGTGGCGCAGTCGGTTAAGCGTCCGACTTCAGCCAGGTCACGATCTCGCGGTCCGGGAGTTCGAGCCCCGCGTCGGGCTCTGGGCTGATGGCTCAGAGCCTGGAGCCTGTTTCCGATTCTGTGTCTCCCTCTCTCTCTGCTCCTCCCCCATTCATGCTGTGTCTCTCTCTGTCCCAAAAATAAATAAACGTTGAAAAAAAAAATTAAAAAAAAAAAAATAAATGTAAAATGGCTGTAAAATGGCTCCCTCTGCAATAGAATCCTGGCCCGGGAGCACCCAACATAGCACCCACCATCTAGGACTGCAGTAGCTGCCCATCGGTAGGTACTGAACAAAGAAAGTAAGGGAACATGAAAGCTACTTAGCAGGGTTTAGAGTGTAGAGAATTTATTCTGGGGCTTCTGGCTCCTTTACTATTCAGCAATTTGCCTGGTACTGGTATCAGACAACTCCCAGATAGCAATCTGGAATATCTACTTTAATGTCAGCTAGCACTGACTAGGTGCAAACTATTGGAATTACATCTGTTAAAGATGAAGTTAGCTGGAAAAACCGTGCCTTATGTCCATCATCCAAGTGGCCAACAAACACCTGCATCCAATTAATTTTTGAGGACCTGAAAACAAAGGTCTTGGGGTCACTTTATAACAGTGATTCATGAATTACAAATCAGCAATTTATATTTCATTCTAAGCACACATTTTTTTGAAGTAAAGAATCAGAAAAAATGGGATGGAATGGAGAACTTTCACTTCAACAGCTTTTATGCCAGCAGAAAGCTGGAGAGAAAGTGGTCGAGAGGAAGCAACTACTAAAGACATCACTAACATCCCCCTTAAGAGTATTAGAAGAGGTATGTGGAATAGAAGGCAAATGTGTACAGGACTTATGTGGCTGGGTAACTAGAAGCTAGCTTTGGCTACCATGTCATATAAGAACCAGACTATTACAACTCAGAAGAAACTTAGGGATTCTAGCCCAGTGTTCTTTCCCAGATCAGAAATCCAGGTTCAAAGGTTACTAACTTGTTTACTAACTGCATCACACAATTAATCTGTGGAAGAGACTGGATAGAGCTCAGCCCTCAGAAGCCTCTCCTCCTTCTGGAAGGTCACTTTCCAGTCTGAAAGTAAACTTCACAAGTAATCTTTTGCCTTCATCGAATTGTTTTGTCTTGCTTTATGTTCCAAACAAAAATACAAATCAGGGGCTAACTCTGCAAATTTCCATAAGTATATAATATTGAAGGAAGAAAAAAAACCTGAGGGATTTTATTTGGCTTTGTATATATCCAAGGAATAAAATTCTTACATCAAAAAATTAGCTGTCAGTTTTGCGGATGGCACCGTGGCCAAAGAAATCCAACTGGTTCAACGTTTTCTAAGTTACATGCTCCTGAATGCAAGGGCTTAGGTGGCTGCATTCTCTCACGGTTTTTCACTCTCTGCAGAGACCTTAATCAATAACGTAACACTGCTTTTATAATCCCAAGACCCTGGGTCCTTCCTCTACCTCTTCTCTCTAATCTATCGAGTTCTACTGTCCATAAGAATCAGAGGAAAATTTCCTTTTCATCTCTCTTTTTCTCTCTATTCTTTTTTCAGATCCTCTAGTCTCTTAAAAAAAAAAAAAAAGCCTATCTCTGACTCAAATGCAGCTAGAAATACAAAAAAAGAGCAAACTCAAATGGATTAATAAATATAGACAAATACAGACAAGATTTGAAGAGGTTAACCATAAAGCGTGGGTAGGACTCCACCTCAATATACCTGCATTTTAAGACTAGTTTCAATATTGCTTCGAATTGGATCCTTTAAAAGGATTTAATGGATTTGATTATGATTTTAGCAGCTGTTATGAAAAATGTTCTGTGAAATTAGGATGTTATATATCATATTACACAGTGATTGGTTCCCTACAGTAATGCCATGAGTCATTCAGTTTTTTCACTAGATTGACGTTATTTTTGACGTAAATGGAATGCTGCCCACGGATCAGATATAGATGGCAAGGGAAGGAGGGGAACGGAGCAGCCTGATGATGGGGTCTGCTCTGCATTCTTACATGCATTCTTCTCCTCAAAAAAAGAGCTACCTTTGACTATCACACATAACGCTATTATCAGCTACAATGCTGAACATCATGAAACACTTGGTGGCATTTTAAAACTTGAACAGTATATGCATATCACTCACAGTCACTCAAGATCGTAAAAGATGGGCCCATGGGGCTTGGGGTTGATCCACACTGCATTCAGAGGTAGGCTTATGTGTCTCAGGTGCTGTGAAACAGTTACCATGAGAGTGATCTGGAGTTAGTCTTCTTTGAACAGAATCCAGAACCGTGGCTCTCTGGCACTGAATTGGGCAATTTCCCTAACCTCTCTGTCCCTCAGAATCCCAAAGTGCAAAATGGGCATGATAATAACATAACAATAATAATTGCGTTGTTATGAGAACTAAATGCATTAATAGATATGCCGGTGCTTGGAAGAGGGACTGCTACATAAACACTCAGTAAATGTATTTTACTGGTGTGGAAAGGCTAGCAAGATATCCTTACATGACTAAAGCAAGTTTTAGAACAATATGTACATTCATATTAAGTACTTTAAACAGAACATAAAATAATTTTCCAATGGTAAATATATGCATATGATTTAACAGAAAAAGAACTGTTAAAATACACTTCATACTGATGATGGTGGTTACCTCCAAAGAAGGTGTTAGATTTGGAGAGCTTGGTCAGTACGTAATTTTATCTTATTTGTAAATGTTAAAATGTTTGGTATCATATGTATTTTTTGCATTTATATATTACTTACACATTTAAAATTAGTAAAAAAAACACACATTCATTTTTTATAGACATCTTAATTCCATTCTAATTTTTTTTTATTTGTTTATTTTGAGAGAGGGCAAGAGAACATGAGTGGGCTAGGGGCAGAGAGAGGAGGCAGAGAGAATCCCAAGCAGGCTCCCTGTTGTCAACACAGAGCCCGATATGGGGCTCAAACTCATCAATGGTGAGACCATGACCTGAGCCAAATTCAAGAGTTG